AAAAAAAAAAAACACACATGCCCTATTTTGTTCTTCCTGACCAATATTCTAATTCTATAGTTTGTGGTGAGGTTCCTAAAGGAAATTGTGATTCTTTTCTTGCCTGACTCCACTGAGAACTCTACTGTTCAGGTATTGCTAAAAGGCCTTATATTTGCTTGAGGAAGGAGTTGGTACTTCCTCAAGAAAGATAAAGGAGGTTTATTGGGAGGATGGTGCTTGAAGTATACCCTGAAGAATGGGTTCAGGAAAATAACTGGATATTCCAGGTGAAGGAAATACCAAGAGCAAAGGTAGAACAAGAGTCATAAGTACAAAGTGTTAGATCAGGTGTCAAAAGCTCAAATACCGTGTGGGCTAGGCAGGTAACATCAGTGATAGTTAAAATTATAATGATAAAACAAAATGATAAATGAGAATTGACTCTTGACCTTGGTCTTAGGCCACTAAAAAGAACCTTCATTGTATTTCTGTACAAAAGAGCACACAATGTATATTTTTTGAATATTCAGAATTAAAAATTTTAAATGGGCGAGAAGCTTATGCTGTGTTTCACTGTTAAAAGGTTGTAACTTCATTCTTGGAAAGTTTGTTTTTTATTTATGGTAAAATTAGTACTTCTTTCCCTCTAACTTTTAAACATAAGTGGCATTTAACATCGTGTGTGTGTGTGTGTGTGTGTGTGTGTTACAAGAACCAATCATGGAGTTCTTTCTGTCCTATTTCGAGTTTAGCTTTTTTGGAAGCATCCTCCCCCATCCTGCTGACATATCTGTCCCTCTCCAGAAGGGTTTTTTTCCCCGAAGCAACATCATTTATATTCTCACTTGAGCACTCTGATATCTTGTTTTAGGGTCCTAAAACTAGAGCTTTTAGCAAAATGAATGAACTGTGGTTTGCTTCATGACAGATCTTTCCACTCACAGGTTGAAAGGCTCTGGCTTGCTTGGTCTCATTTGATCTTCATCATTTTAGCACTGACAGTAAATCACACAATGGTCATACTTTTCCTTGGATATATTTCCTTGTTATCTTTTACTTGTCACATCAGGATCATGAAAACCCTGCCTCTCATTAACTTTGTAAATTTAAATAGGACCCCTTGCAAAGCACATTGAATAAGCATCAATAAAGCATAACATGGGATGTGTGTGAAGGCATCAATCATCTTTCTGTTGCACCCACTTCTGTCATTTTAGCACTTTCTGCTCTCTAAGAACTCAGAATACCGAAGCGATGGACAACTGAAAGAGACAGATGAAATGGTTGATTTGTTGAGTTGCTAAATGCAGCTGGGACAGGTAATTAAACAGTCCCGCTCCCGCAGAGAAGCCTGCAGCAATGTAACATGAAGTCTCAAAAACCCAGCTGTACTCAGATTTAGATTCAGAACTAATATTAGGTAGGCCTCTTTCAGATTGACAGATTTCGTAAACATCATTTCTGGTTTATTTGTTCAGCATGATTGAAGATGGAGCGTGTGTGTTTTGTTCATGGTTTAAGTTTCTGGGAAGTGTGTGCTGTTTATAGATCTGGGAGAATCGCCTACAAGGGTACAGCCCTGTATCTGGAAGGCAAGGGATTCCATGGGTGACCCTCTGCTGCTGCTCTGTGCTCCAGCCTGTTTCTGACTTCAGCAGTTGCATGGATGTGGTGGGGAGCAGGGTCAGCCACATGAATAGGTCAGGATTAGGAAGGGGGGATGAATGAGGAGACTGGATCAGTTCCCTCCTTAATCCTTTTATTTTTTATGGGGGCATATTTTTTATCTAAGTAACAACAGTCTGTATGTATAGCAATGTCTTTGTTTTAATTTGGGCACTTTTATGCAGAAATTGTTGTCACCATCTACTCAGTTGCTCGAACAAAAATTTGGCAATTACCTCTTTCATTGACCTTCCACAGGCAGCCCCCTAGCAGGCTGTTTGTAGGACTGATGTGTTCTTACCCTGCAATTCCTACCACACATGTCCCCATCTCTGGGAAACCTACCCTGACCAACTTTCCAAAATGACCTCCACCAATCGTGTATGGTATCTTGACCCTGATTAGTTCCTTCATAGCATTTATCACAATTAGCAATTACTTGGTTTTCGCTTGTTTGTTCGTGAATTGTTTTGTTTTTGTTGTTGTTAAAGATTGATTGATTTTAGAGAGAGAGAGAGAGATTGAGAGAATGTGAGCAGGGGAAGGGGCAGAGGGAGAGAATCTCAAGCAGACTCCTGAGACGCACAGAGCCTGACTTGGGGCTCAATCTCATGACCCTGAGATCATGACTTGAGCTGAAATCAAGAGTCAGACACTTAACTAACTGAGCCCCCCAGGTGCCCTTGTTGGCAAATTGTTTTCTTACTTGTTTATGTCTGCTTGCCCTCTTGCTTATTTATTGTCTTTCACACTGATATTCTGTGGGGGGTCAGGACTATTTCTTTCGTTCACCTTATGATTCCAGCTCATAATGCAAATCCTTGCACATAGTTTATATCCTATAAATAATATGCTGGATATCATGTCCAGACTAGATTGTAGATCGGTGGTATGCTTGTAAATGTCTAGTTCTCAAAACAGCAAAAGAAATCAAATGAAAAGCAATCCAAATTTGTAGTATTTACCAGTACCTGTGGTGTAAATAATCCCACCATGGCAGATTTCAAGCTACCTGAATGACATCACTGAACACTGAATTGGGAAACGATTCACAATAGCACTTCATCGTTTCCGATTTCTCTGTGGGAACAGAGCTATTTAATTACCTAGCGCAGCTTCATTTAGCAACTCGACAAATCATCCATTTCATTTGTCTTTCGGTTCACCCCTTCAGTAGCATGTAGAGTATTTAGGTAGTATTTCCACTGTACATAGTAGTCCCTTAAAGAAGGTAGATAAAGTGTGGTAAAAATAATTAGGAAGTGATCGATTTTGAATACTTATTAGATTTATTTTTAATACCATTTATTTAATTGTAGCTGTATAGAATTTATTTTTTAGTGATGGCTACATTTAACAGCTGACTTGCAAAATTCCTGAAAATCGAGCAATCTGTTCTTGCAAGCAGTCTTCATACCACTGGGGATGACCTATGGTTGGACATACTGACCACTCTGCCCCAGTGTTTGCTTCATAAAGGGAGAGAGTTGGCAGACATGGTTGGGTTAGTTCTTCTTTACAGAAACATTTCTCTGAGAGTTTTTATTTAACCTTTTACTACTAAAGAAAAGACTAAAAAAAACAAAAAACAGAAAAACAAAACCCACCAACATTTATAAAACTGATTGTCTTCTGGTTTGATATGCATGATTTGGTACAATGACTCGGCAAGAGGATGAGGGGACCACAGTGAGAAATAAAGAAATCACCGAGAGGAAACAAGAGTAAAAACAATGCTAACCTTCCATTTAGAGCATTAGAACATCTTATTGTCAGAGATGGTTGTAGATCCTGAAGTGCTTGGTGGTCAAGAGCACTTAATTTTCAGAAAATTAGCCCAGGGCCAGAAATCCCTCGTGCCTGTTTTAAGTCATTGAGGTCTTGGTGTGCTGGACTGCTTGCCACTTCACATTTGTCTGTGTGTATATAGTGGGAAGGAAATCAGCCCCAGATGGTGTCTGAAGCCTGTAGAACTCTGGGGATTCAGAGCAGATGACTAAGGGGAGGTGACAAGCTCAGAGACAAGGGGTCACAGGGAATAGGAAATATGAAGGAAAGAACCATGTTGTGGATGCATTGCCATGCTGTGTAGGGTTTTCTCCTTACCAAATATATAGTTAGAGGTGGGCCTGGTATTTTTAGATAAATAGACTGTTGATATAGGAAATACAAATCATGATTAGTACCATTTACCACATTTGAGTTTATATAGCCTCAATGAGAAATCATGAGCTCCATCTTTAAAAGTCAAGGGAGTAGAGTTTGGTGAGTGCATTTGACCTTTACAGTCAGCAACACCAGGTTTCATCTCTTTACTTTGACATGGGCTAGACTTTCTTAACCCTTGACTCATATCTGAGCCCATATGAATCCTTCTAAGCCAACAGCGTCAGTCCTAGGATGGAATAATGATTGCCTTCCTCATTACGTAGCCATCCTCCCCCAACTGGAAATTGTTCTTACTAAAGTTGGTGAGATGGAAAAGGAGTTCTTTTTTTTTTTTTTTTTTTAAGATTTTACTTATTTGACAGAGAGACAGTGAGAGAGGGAACACAAGCAGGGGGAGTGGGAGAGGGAGAAGCTGGCTTCCCACTGAGCAGGGAGCCCTATGCGGGGCTCAATCCCAGGATCCTGGGATCATGACCTGAGCCAAAGGTAGATGCTTAACGACTGAGCCACCCCGCTGCCCCGGAAAAGGAGTTCTTGGGTGAGGCATCATTTTTCACAGATTAGTTCAAAAAAATATTTAATGAGTCCGTGTTTAGTGCCTGGTACTATTGTGGGGTCTGAGGTTATAGAGAGAAGATACAAACTTTGCACTTAAGCAGGGGGAACAATCAAGAAAATAGAAATTCTAAACACAGTAGGTTATGAGCTGTGATAGAGATCTATACAGGGTGGTCTTGGACCCCAAACAGAGGCACATTAACTCAGATATCAGGAAGAACTTCCTGGAAGTGATACTGCCTTAGTATTGAAGTGTTAGTGGAAATTAGGTAATAAGGAGGAACTAGAATGTTCTGGGAGATGGGAAGCCCTGCAGAAAAATGAAACCTAGAATCCATACTGGGAACTATAGAAGGTTTGGAATGCCTGATGCTTAGAATTGAAGAATAGAATTTGTACATCCATCTCTCCATCCCTAGGGAATCTGAAAGGAAAAGAGGAGTGAGAGCAAGAAGACAAATTATTCATATTTTATTGGTGGCTAGTTTTCCCCTTATTGTCCTCTATTGGGATCTTGATGATCTGATTCAAGAGGTGGGGCTTTCATGTCAAAATAATCCTTGATGGAGGATTAACAGCTGGATATGCCCTTGTCAGGTCTGATGTTGCTTTGTGTTTTGCTACAGCTGCTGCCGATTCATACTCTGAGGCTTGGCATGGAAGTGGATTCCTTTGATGGGCACCATTATATCTCTTCAGTTGCTCCAGGTGGTCCTGTTGATACACTGAACCTCCTGCAGCCAGAGGATGAGCTTCTTGAGGTAAAATTTCTGAGAGATAAAAGGCACAGGACAGGAATTTCTGAGTTGTAGGAAAATATATTTTTACCAGAAATACACTGAATTACATTACTGCCAATGTAATGTGAACTACTTACATTGAAAAATACTTGGGGACTATCTTTTCTTTTTTTTTTTTTTAAATTTTATTTTATTGTGTTAGTCACCATATATTACATCATTAGTTTTTGATAGGGTCTATCTTTTCAAGGATACAACACAGTATTTTTTTTTTTTTTTAAAGATTTTATTTATTCATCTCAGAGAGAGAGAGACAGAGGCAGGCAGAGGGAGAAGCAGGCTCCTTCGATGTGGGACTCGATCCCAGGACCCTGGGATCATGACCTGAGCCAAAGGCAGACGCTTAACGGACTGAGCCACCCAGGCGTCCCACAACACAGTATTGTTAACAATAGTCCCCAAGTTGCTGTAAGAGTAGATCTTAAATGTTCTTACCCACCCCCCCACCACACACACAAAATGGTAACCATGTGAGGTGATGAATATGTTAACTAACTTCATCGTGACAGTATTTCACAATACAGATGTATGTCGAATCATCACATTGTATACCTTAAACTTACACAGTGTTGTGTGTCAATTTTATCGCAATAAAACTGGAGAAAATGAAATAAAGGCAAAGAAAAATACAGCCTATGTAATGATAAAGAAAATAGATAATATGCTTTCAGTTCATTTTCCCCATCTTTTGGGACTCCTTAGATGTTCTTTTGACTGCTTATTTAAGTGATTGAGAAAGAAGCTAATGTCCTGTTTAAGAGCATAATTAGGATTTTTTTTAGCAAGTTTCTTTTTTTTTTTTTTTTTAGATTTTATTGATTTGTCAGAGAGAGTATGCACAAGCAGGGGGGAGGGGCAGAGGGAGAAGCAGGCCCCCTGCTGAGCAGGGAGCCAGATGCAGGACTCAATCCCAGGACGCTGGGATCATGACCAAGCTGATTAACTGATGAGCCACCCAGGTGTCCCAGCAAAATTCTTTTTTAAGAGACAAATTCCTGCCCCTTGTTTGCAACATGTAGACACATTCACTTGCAGGTTTTATTGGTTATTCCTAATAAGAATTAGGCTAGCTGGATAGGCTAATGTATTAGGCTTAGGTATTACTGACTGGTATTCAGATTGTCTCCTTGGAACTTGCTTCCCCAACATGGCAGCCTCTGTGGGCTCACTCGGGCTCCCCAGCCTGTCTTCAGCTAGAGCAATTCTAGAGCACTTCTGCTTTGATGTAACATTCTTGAGAGATTTTGTTAGATTGGATGGTCTTAGAGCTAACGTAACAAACAGTATTGAATCCCCTAATTTTACAGACAGGAAAATAAGGCATTGATTTTCCCCAACTTCATATACTCATAGTATGATCACTTTAGTTCATGTTTTCTACCACCCATTTCACTGTTTTTTCAAATACACTACTTCCTAAGCTTATAAAAAAATAAATGTGGGGAATGGTCAGACTTAAGGCTATGTAAAAGAGGGTTCTGCCAAGAGTTAGGAAACCACAAGAAGCTCTAACTTGGGTTTAATAGAATCAACCTCGTAGCCTTAGCCAAGATTAGACTCCATGGGCCTTGATTTTAGAGATGTCTTTCTAAGGTTGATGTTTACTTGAAGTGAAATGACAAGGATAGCAAATAGGGTCGTTGGGAGCAGTGTCTGGCCACCTAGAGAAGTATGTTGAGAATTCTAGGCTGACTTTTGAGGTCAGAGGGAAAGCCGCTATGACTGGTTGTTAAATTTTGTTATAAGCATAGGAGGGCAAGATGTTGGAGTCCTGTTTTAAGCTGTAGTAAGCAGCTTATTTTTAGAAGTGCTCAAGGAATCCTATTGGGATGCTTATTGTGGAATAATGTCTTTAGGTTTTACTACATGACTTTGGGTTTTTTTGTTTTGTTTTTTGTTTATTGTTTTGTTTTTGGTACTGAGATCGTATCTTTCTCTTTTGATTGTTGGGGCACATACATAGCTTTATGGATATCACACATGATAATCTATAGACTGGAGACGATTTCTGTAGTTTTTAGGTATTGAGAAAGGAGATATTTTTGTGTGGAGAGAAGTGGAATTAGTAAAAACCAGTTTGATTCTCTTTTTCTTGTGAGAAATATACGTGTATTGTATACCCGAAAGTAACATGGTATGTCAACTACAATTTTTTAAATTTTAATTTCAGTGTAGTTAACATACAGTGTTCTGTTAACTACAGTTAAAAAAAAGAATAATAAAATACTTTTTCTCCAAGAAAAAATATGCATACAAAACATAGAATTTACCGTTTTAACCATTTTTAGTGTACGATTCAGTGTCATGAAGGATGATTCACTACTAGTATGTGGTAGGTGATAAAGAAATAGTGGCAAGCATAGAGGAAGTGTGCCTGATCCCAGCTATCAGCTGAGTCCTCTGTGCTTCAGCCAAGACTAGGATCCCATGGGCCTTCCATCTTGTAAGAGAACATGATATAATAAGGTAGTATACTGTAATTCTTAAGTAAAGATTTCTGGTGAAAACACTGGAGATAGGGAGTGAAGCAGCGAAGGCTTGAAGTCAGAAGAGCTGCCTCTGCATTTTAATTTGCCACAGCTTCACAATCTGTCCTCTGACATGTCACTCAACTGTTTTTGAGAGTTGTTTTTTCATTAATAGATGCCTACCTCGCCATTTTTTTTTGAGGGTCTAGTGGAATATCATCAGTGTAAACTTTTATTTTAAAGATTTTATTTATTTGAGAGAGAGTGTGCAAGCTGATGGGGGGTGGGTGGAGAGGAAGAGAGGAGGAGGGAGGGGGAAAGAATCTCCAGCAGACTCTGTGCTGAGCATGGAGCCTGACCCGGGGCTCCATCTCAGAACCCTGAGATCATGACCTGAGCTGAAACTAAGAGTCAGACACTTAACTGACTGAGCCACCCAGGTGTCCCTTAAGCTTTATTTATTTTAACATACAGTGTTTTATTAGTTTCAGGCATACAATATAGTGACTCAGCAATTCAGACATCACCCTGTGCTCATCACAACAAGTGCCCTCCTTAATCCCCTTCATCTGTTTCACCCACTCCCCACCCACCTCCCCTCTGGTAACCCTCAGTCCTCTGTAATTAAGAGTCTCTTTCTTGATTTGTCTTTTTTCCCCCTTTCCTCATTTGTTTTGTTTCTTAAATTCCACAAGTGAAATTGTATGGTATTTGTCTTTCTCTGACTTATTTCGCTTAACATTATATTCTCTAGCTCCATCCATGTCATTGCAAATGGTAAGATTTCATTCTTTTTTATTGCTGAATAATATTCCAGTGTGTGTGTGTGTGTGTGTACCACATCTTCTTTATCCATTCCCTTCATCAGTCGCTAGACACTTGGGCTGCTTCCATAATTTGAATGTTGTAAATAATGCTGCTGTAAACATTGGGGTACATGTGTCCTTTTGAATTAGTGTTTTTGTATTCTTTGGGTAAATCCCCAGTACTGTGTTTGTGGGATTGTAGGGTAGCTCTATTTTTTAACTTTTTGAGGAACCTCCATACTGTTTTCCAGAGTGACTGCACTCATCCATGTCAACTTGAAAGCATTATCTCACTGTGAGAGATAATACTTGGCAGTATTATCACTCTAAAAAGGCATAAACAATCTTTATGGGTTAAGATGAATGAGGATTGAATGAGGTAATGTGGTGGGACAATACTTGTACAGTATTATGTACTCTGCAAATGTGTACGTGTGTGTTCTTTCTGATCACAAAGTCTGAATAATTGAGACTTGATAGCACTTAAGAGAGTCTCAAGTTGGAGGGCCTAGAGAAATAGTGTGAACTCTAAAATAAAAATTGGCTTATTCTGAATAGCCAGATATAGAAATAAAAAAAATCTCTTCTGAAGTTAGCCAAATAAACTCCTGAACCTAAAGTGTGGTGTGTGTGTGTGTGTGTGTATATGTGTATGTGTAGTGTACTCCTTAGAGCTTAAAACCAGAAACACAAATATGCTTTGGGGTTAGAACATTGTTCCAAGTCTTAGCCCAGAGCAGCTATTTACAGCAGCCATAAATCCTCTTAGATAGGGGTAATGGTAATGGGAAATGTGACCAATCCCTTTAACAGTGGAGAGTAGTGAGGAGGACTACCAGGCACTGCTATAATAATTGGAGACAATTCAAATGAATAAATAATGAGCTAAATAAATATTTAAATGTACTCCAAGATAAAAACCTGAAAAGTGATTTTCTAATTTGTTGAAGTAATGTGAAACACAAACTAAGACTTGCATATGGGAAGAATTCTTGCTTCTCAGTATAGGGCACTGCACATTCGGATGATTTGAGAACTTTCTGTGTTTGTGACACCAGTTGGCAGTGGGGACATGATGTGACCAGTGAAAGTTGACTTTGAGTTCTTAGGAAAAACCTTTATCAGCTGCTGAACTTGCTGTTCCCTGGATCTCTTTCATCAGTCAGAAAGTCCTGGGAGATGATATTGACTTTTCTACCAGGACCAGCTCCCTGAGGCACATACGGGTCTCTTTACTCTGTTGCAATATCTCTGTAAATAATTAAGAGGCAGAGAGATGGTTTCTGGCCTGACGGCTAAGTGCTTGTATGTTGAGGGCCTGAGAATGACTCCCATGGATGATTGACTTGGGGTTCAGGCCGCTGCCGCTTTGATGCTTGCAACAACCCACAGTGTCATATTCTCAGAGAAGGACAGGTTCTGTGCAAAGGTTTCTCCCAGTAAAGTCAGCCCTGCCAGTGATCTGGACATTAGCATGGCACCTGTCAGAAACTGATGCCAACCCAGAAATATCTTTAAAACTAATAATGCCACTGAACCCTTCCAGGAAGGTAGGAGTCAGATGGGAAAAGATTGGGTTAATGCCTGGATTATGTTCATGCCTCAGCTTTTGGGCAGTAGCAGGCAGATCAGTTTTAGTGGCATTGAGTCAGAACTGAGAGAGCTTCTGGAGCTTTAGTCAAATAGATAAAAAATTAGAATAGGTTTATCTTTCTAAGTCATCTTTGGTGCAAAATACTATTACTGTGCACTAAAATATGAAACTTAGATAATTTTGTGGTGATAAGTACAAAGCATTAGGAGTAGTTGGTTATCATTTTGTTCTTTTAAGCATATGGAACACACATCAGACAATTTGAAAACTGACACACTTCCTATACTTGACTGCTGTGTGAGCAGAACATGTAAGAATAGAATGGAGGGAAACTTTACATGTATTTCTATAGACATGATTTCTCTAGGATAGTATTAAGCGTCAGAGAGGGAGAAAAACCATGAGAGACTCTTAACTCTAGGAAACAAACTGAGGGTTGCTGGATGGGAGGTTGGGGGGGAATGGGGGAACTGGGTGGATGGGCATTAAGGAGGGCATGTGATGTGATGAGCACTGGGTGTTATATGCAACTGATGAATTATTGAACTCTACATCTGAAACTAATGATGTGCTATATGTTGGCTAATTGAATTTAAATAAAAAAAAAGTTTATGGCATGTGAAAGAAAATTGTGAAAAGTGATGCTAAATTTTGACAGCTGAGTATCCTAGATTTTGTTACCTACACATTGTAAATTGAGCGGTTTTTCATTACAGCTTTCAAATTAGTGTGAATATCTATAGTGACATTTTTATGAAAAGAAAAAGCAAAAGGAGGTGGTCTTAGGAAGCCTAGCAATGATATCTAGCGTGTTTAAGGAGAGATGTATAGAAGTAGATGAGAGAATTCAACATTGGAGGGTAGAAAAGAGAAACCATGGAGGTGTGAAAAATTAGGCAGATCACTTGTCATCTGCACACATCTTAGACTTTCTTCACTGAAATTCAGTAAAGGTTTAACCTTAATTTTTATACATTTGATTTCTAATGTTTTTAGTTACTACTAAAATAATGTGGTTACGTTTAGACCCTTTGTTCATGGGGAAAATAAAACAATCCTGTTTTTATTTGGATAGATCCATGTGAGCATGGGACTTTGGTTTTTTCTTCGGGGCCTGCTCAATTCTGACTTATCCCTTGTCTTTCTAGGTCAATGGCGTACAACTCTATGGGAAATCTCGCCGAGAAGCAGTCTCTTTTCTCAAAGAGGTGCCTCCTCCCTTTACCTTGGTTTGCTGTCGACGATTATTTGATGATGAAGCTTCTGTGGATGAACCAAGGAACACTGAAGCCCCTCTTCCCAAAATGGAGGTACTAACTGAATATTCTGTGGTTCCCTAGGAGTGAGCATTCATCAAGAATGCCCTGAAGAGTGTATTTGGATATGAAAGGAGGGGAGAAATTTCCATCTTCTTTTATTTGACTACAGTAGCGCTCAAAGGCAATAATGCATAGCTTTACAAACCGTTACCTTTCATTTCACATCATAAAACTTTTTCTCTTCTCTTTTTCTTCTTTTTACTTGAAATGTTGGTGACATTAATGTGCATGCACTTTGATTTTAGAGAACCCTTTTTTAGTAATTTCCTGGGCTCATTACTTTTGGCTCCCAGTTCAACCCAGTTCATCTTAAACTTAAGATGTTGGTGAGTGTTGAATATCTAATGGACTTCCCTTTTTCAGAGCCTTAGAAATATGAAGATCTATGACCAATTTTGAAGTGAGTAAAAATTGCTGTAAAAGCCTTCAGAAGGTCAGAGAATAAAATAACATTTTCTGTGCTCTTGGTACTTTTTTTTTAAGAACATTGTGATTATAAAAACAGTTTTAATCACGTGCTTTACCATTTTTTTTAAAGATTTTATTTATTTGACAGAGACAGCAAGAGAGGGAACACAAGCAGGGGAAGTGGGAGAGGGAGAAGCAGGCCTCCCATGGAGCAGGGAGCCCAATGTGGGGCTCGATCCCAGGACCCCTTACTTGAGAGAGAGTGTACAAGCAGGGGGAGCAGCAGAGGGAGAGGGAGAAGCAGACTCCCCGCTGAGCAGGGAGCCTGATGCAGGGTTTGATGCCAGGACCCTGAGATCATGACCTGAGCTGAAGGCAGACATTTAACCAACTGAGCCACCCAGGTGCCCCATTAACACCAGTTTAGACACACAGAGCCTTCCCTTTACCTGCCTGTGGTGTGAGTGTCAAGATAATCATGCCTCTACCACTTAGTGAATCCTTGAGCAAATAACATGACTTTCTGTTCATATTCTTTCTTTGAAAATTGGGGATACTTAAAGTACTTACTGCCCTCATCAGTTTGTGTGAGAAGGAAATGAAGTAATATATGCCCAGCTCTTAGTGCAATGCCTTGCACATGAGAAGTGCTTTGGAGAAGTTAACTATAGCTCTTGACTCCTCCAGTCCAGCCATCTTTGTTTCCTGATTTCCTGAAGTATGTGAGAGGCTAGCCCTCTCTTATGGTCACAGATGTTTTCATGTGTATTGAGCTTGCTTTTACAACAAAACTCAGCTCCTGTGAGCAGAGTCGTATCTTAAAATTATTTTGTGTCTCATAGTGTTTTTATTCTGTACAGGGTGTATAAGAATTGCTTAGTCCATTATTGATTGAGAATCTTTTTTTTTTTTTTAAAGATTTTATTTATTTGACAGAGAGAGACACAGCGAGAGAGGGAGCACAAGCAGGGGGAGTGGGAGAGGGAGAAGCAGGCTTCCCGCTGAGCAGGGAGCAGCAGGGAACCCGATGCGGGGCTCGATCCCAGGACCCTGGGATCATGACCAGAGCCTAAGGCAGATGCTTAACGACTGAGCCACCCAGGCGCCCTGAGAATCTTTTTTTTCTTAATGTTTATCTTTGGTAAAACATATTTCAGGGAAGGAACCTGAATACCACTTTTGTGATTCTTAATATCTTTACTAAAATTCATGTGGATGAGGGCTTACCTCTAAAGATTGATAAAAATGCCTTTAATCTAATCTTACAGGGTGTGTAAATCACCCAGCTTGCTGACTCAATGCTCCCATCTGTCATCCTTTACCACAATGGGTAAACAACAGCTTTGAATTATTCTAAATGTCAGCCTTGCTGCCCATTAGTTGATTGCTTTCTATTCTGTAAATACAGGAGTTATACAGAATTGATTGTATCAAAGTGATATATCTCAGGTTGGAGTATAATATCTTATATACCTTGGATGCCTTAAAATTTCTGTCAACTTAGGCTTTATAAGTGTGTGTGGTTTCTTAAAATCCTGGCTTTTCTGTCTTTTTTTTCTTTTTTCATTTATCCCCATATCATCTTAGGTTCTTAAACCTTATCTGGTTAGGCAGCTCAGCCAGAATTCTCATGCTCATTAATCAGTGAGGGTATTAAATGCCCCAGTAAAACATCAATCATATTATATATTAGCTATTGGAACTTTACTTTTTATTGGAAGGTATAAAAATGTTTTCTTTTTAAATATCATTTCCTCACATCAGGCTGATATATACAGAGGTTATTGATCGAGAACATCCCACTAATTTCAAGTTTTGTAATTCAAGAACCCAGAAATTTTTCCCATGTTTAGACTCAATCCACCATGGATTGAGTTTTGACTTTCATGTCCTATGGGGACAGTTTGAGATCTGGACCAACCCTAATTTAAAAAATGTTTTTGTACTTGCTGTGGTGCCTTACTCTTCCATATTAGAGGGGTCCCCTCCCTCTGATTTCATTAAGTGGATTTTCTAATGCAAGTCACTAGAAATTGTGTTCCTAGGAATGATGCACTTCGATTCTATTTACTAAGAGCACCCGAAGTTTTAAGAAGTCTATTTTTAAAGATTACTATTTAGTCTGTAGCTTTATTTAAAAAGTTTGAAGGGATATGCAGTCAAAGATGGATGATTTGTTAATGTATTGGACAAATATTTATCAAGCGCCTACTGTGAGCCGGGCTCTGTTGTGGGCTGAGTGGATAGCTATTGGTAAACCCCATGGTAGCCCACACAGATTTTCCATTCTAGCCTGTCATTTTGTTAGTTGCTAGGGCTACAAAGAAAAGATAATCTTTGAGCTTCAGATAGATGTTCAGAGTATTTTGAGGAAGATAAATCATATGAAAACTAAAGGTTGAAGCAGCTCTTCTGTGTAGTCGACTCATTTACCCGCTATCATTGAGCTTCCTAGAAGTCCCTGTAGCAGTGACTCTCCCTGAAAGGAGTAGGGGGAGCCTGGAATAGGGGCTTTGGGGGTATGAAGTCAAGGAAAATAACCAAGGACTTGTGTATTGGATAGTTTTGCTGACTTACATCCTCCAAGATGCGATTTTCATTATTTCAACTCGGTGGTTTTTTTTTTTTTTTTTTTTTTTTACTGGTTTTTTAGACTTAGATGATTCCCAAGGACTTGGATTTTTTTCCACTTTTTCTAGTGAAGTTTTTCTTGTAAAATTCCAGAAGCCAATGAAGTGGTTTTTCTTGTGTCTTGTACTATCCTCTCTCTCTGTTGGTATCTTTCTATCTTTCACTGTAATTATGAGTTCATGTTTTACTACTTAAATATCTTATAAGCTTTGATTTGGGATGGTATTTTCATTTTTTTTTCTTAAATTGCGTATTTTTCCTTTTATGCTTCTAATGGGATGACAGAACTCATTGAAGTGTAAGAGGTCAGTGTTAATATTTTGAATGAAACAGGTACTTTACATTTTAAAAAAATCCAACTGTATGAACAGTCTGCATTTTTAAGTACTTGAATTTCCATGAAGATCTTATGCCCCAGTGCATGCCCCTTCTGAAAAGATTAAAAAGATAAAGTATGCATGCCAAAGAGAATTCCCAGTTGGAGAAGAAGCTGTGAGATTCCTGATATGTTAATTCTTTTCAGAATTGAAAGGACAATGTTTTGAAGCATTTGTCGTCTTTTTCAGGCTGACCACAGTATAGGCGTTAATACTGAAGATGATGATGATGATGGGGAATTAGCACTATGGTCTCCTGAAGTCAAGATTGTTGAACTAGTAAAGGATCATAAAGGCTTGGGATTCAGCATCTTGGATTACCAGGTATAAGAATCTATTTTGAGTTTTTGGAGAGATTTGTTTTAAAGGTATGTGAAGTAGTAATTATTTAAGGCACCCACTAGGGAAAACTGAATGATTTGAGATATAATGCTACCATCCAAAGACAGGTGTTAAAATTTCCATTGTTACCTTTGCATTTGGTAGCTTCTTAGTGAATAAAATGAGGGATGATACAATAATTGAACAGTGAAGGAAGCAATAATTTTATACCCATGGTTGCTTTTAGAGACTGGAGTTTGAAGATTTTTTTTTATATGGAGGGATTTTCAGTCCCATTTTCATTGAGATACATTTCACATATCATAAAATTCATGCATTTCAAGCATGCTGTTGAGTTGTTTTTAGTATATTCAGAGTTGTGCAGCCATCACCACAGTCTAATTTTAGAACCCTTTTCATCACCCCAGAAAGAAACCCGTCCACATTAGTCATTCCCAACTCTCACTCTTCTATCTCCACTTCACATGAAGGTTTTTGTTTTGCTTATTTGTTGATATCAGTGAGCTTGATTAAATAGAAATGTTCTTGATGAAATTACATGTTTATATTTAACACAGAACACATACTATTTATGTATTTATATGTACTCCATTTATAGCTAAAGTCACTAATGCATTTGGGGGGTTGTGTGTGAAAGATCACAATAGGACATCTATATATTGTATCAGTTTACTGGTTTACAGTATTTTTAGACCTTCTGATTATCATGGGGAATTTAAAACTTGGCAAAAAACCTCTTCACTTTTAAGATGCATATTTTAATACTTTAGTGCTGCCTAAACACATTGTGGTTTAATAAAGCAGAATGTACTCTATCAAAGCACATAAAATGCCAAGTGATATAAAAATCAATTTTTTTAATAAGGCATTCGGGAACAGATTAAAAGAAAAATACTTTGAGCATTATGTAAGAACATTAAATTCCATATTTAGGTAGTGTGATTTAAGATTACTGAGATAGATAGTTCGTTTTTGCTGGCATATTTCTGTGCCAGATAACCCTCTCTGTTATTAGAACTTTTCTTTGGAATATTACTGAATTATGATTTGTGGATCGTAAATACATATTTGGGGAAATACTTTTATCAAGAAGTATCAATACTGTAAGATTTTAGAAGTTTCTATGCTGGTTAATATAAGGGTATATGGGGGATGGGGTAACTGGGTGATGGACATTAAGGAGGTCACATGATATAACGGGCACTGGGTGTTATATAAGACTAATCACTGACCTATACCTCTGAAACTAATAATATATTCTATGTTAATTAATGGAGTTTAAATTAAAAAATAAAAAAAGCTATTAAAAAATATAAGGGCATATAAAACAAATTGTAGGTACCATCTCAATTTTTCTTCTCCAGTGTACCCTTATTATCTACCACATGATAAATGATAAGTATTCACACAATGATTGAATAAAGTTTAGCTTAGCCAAAAATAACTGGAAGTAAATGAACACATTTGATGAGATTTTTTGTTAACCATTTTGATAATTAGGATTTAGTTTACAAAACATCTTTCAGATGAAGTGTTAGATATGAAAACACCTTTTAGATGAGGTGTTAAGATATTCAGCTACATTTCCATTATGATTGGAACCTATATGTATTTGCATTCTTACATAATATAATGGTTGCTCCTACCCTCTTAAGTGACATTGTATGTAAGTTTTATATTTTGAATATTCCATGTGAAAGCAGAGAAGTGCTTTAGAAATAAAAACAAACTTCAGTAAAGGAGAGAAAGAAAAAGTTGAGAGTCTTTAAGAGTTTAACCTCTAGTTATAACAAGAATTCTTCTATCAGTTCTGAGCTTTACACTTAAAAAAAAACAACAAAAAAAAACATAGTCCCAAATAGGGAAAAAAATTTTTCTTCACTGCACTCCTATAGGTATGCCTTGAGGCATACTTTGGTTTTTTTAAATTTTATTTTTTTAATAAAATTCTATGTTTCTCCCCCCACCCCTTATCCTCCTTATAATCATCATTACATATACTGACGTTTCTGCACAAGTTGTATAAAGTAATTTTGCTGCAAAAGAAGTAATTTTGCCTTTGTGCGTCTCGGAGAACTGATAGAAAAATACTTTATTTTTAAAATGCTACTTTGATTCATGTTAAAGCACTCAGCTTATTTACTTCTGTAGCTAAACCTTGGAAGCAAAAACATTCAATCTTAAACTGAATTTTTTTCTTAAGTCAGTCTTAAGTACATTTACTTATAATTGTATTCAGCACATTTCACCATTTGTCAGTGGCATACAGAACTGTTAAACACTATGACATTTAGATGACACATAAACAATTTAAAATTTGGTTTCGGGCAAGTTAATTAATTGGTTATATTGTCCATTGTTGTAATTAGGTAATAAATTCTAAAGTTCAAAAAAATTTTTTTTGCAAGGGCAGGTGAAGGTTTAGCAAAAGTCATGAAAGGCCATGTTCCTGGCTATTATTGTATTTGATGCATCCTGCAATGAATTTATTAGGTAGCTGAATAGGACCAATGCAGATCCACCCACATCCCCTTTCCCCACTTAGCACGTTTAGAATAAGAATACTCTAGAAACATTTTGGCCACACAGAGAAAGTTTTAGGACAGTGGGAGAGCTTCCAGGTTGTAAAGGGCTGCATTAGCAGTATTGAAGAGATTGAAAATTTACTTAGCAATATTAATTTCTCACTAACTGGTTTTTCTCTAGAATAGTAAGAACTTCCTCAGGAACCTGACAAAATTATATACAGTGTCTGTTTCGTTGGTGCTTATGCAATTTCTTCATCTATAAAATGGGGATAATGTCTAGCTCAAAGGATTGCTGTGGATTAAGTAAATGCATGTGTAAAGAAGTAGGAAATGTTAAATTTACTATGGGTATGTGAATACTGATAATCATCCAATTTAGAAAATAAACCACAGAAGTCTAGATATTGTTCTTTTTTTTAATCTCATTTAATAATTTTTTTATTGTTATGTTAACCACCATACATTACATCATTAGTTTTTGATGCAGTGTTCCATGATTCATTGTTTGTGCATAACACCCCGTGCTCCATGCAGAACGTGCCCTCTTTAATACCCATCACCAGGCCAACCCATCCCCCCACCCTAGATATTGTTCTTGAAGGTATAGCCCTACTACAGTATATCTAACCCAATTTTTAGCTATCTAGTTAGATTAGGAAAATTAATAAGTAGATACCTTTGTTTAGTGAAATCTAAATTTAATTGTAAAATTACATTCTGAAATGGAACCAACTCCTGATGAACCATATGTGAATTATCCTATTGTGGATTATGCGCCAGCAGTTTGCTTTTGAGTGAGCAGATAAAGGATCTTGAATTGGCCATGGGACTATGGGGTAGCTATCTGGATAGGTGAAAGTCTGAAAATTCAAAGAGCAAAGAGCAAACTGGATATATGTTTTCATGAAAGGCATTTAAAATAGATGGGGGCAAAGGAAAAGGAGAAAGCAAAAGGGAATCATATTTACTATAACATAGTAAACTATGGTTTACGTAGTTTTTATGTTACAGTAAATATGATTCAGGTTGTAAGCCGCCTCATTAGATTTTAGGATAAAGTGATAATAGCTTTATTGGCTCTGATTTAAATGAAGGTAGAATATTTATCAGTCTCAAATATTTCTAGTTAGTACTCCATGTAGTGGCTAGTTAAAATCCTGCCTTATACCGTATTAGAAGACTCACTGGTCACTATAATGTCATACTTAGAGGATAGTGTCATGGAAAACAGCAATGTGCGTAATTTATCAAGAACATGAATATTATGGCTTAACTATGTACTCTGTTTCTAAGCAATACAAAACTTCAGAAATTTGGTTATAACTTTATATAGTATAATTTCTTGCCAGTTTCTAGATGTGGTTTACATATGGTGCTTTAGTTATTATGTGTAATGTCTTTCTTCCTTGGAATATTACTAATACTCATACTAATCCTAATATTAATACAAATCCAATAATAATAGCTAACATTTATTGTTTACTGTTTGAGGTGCACTGTTCTGATTGCTTTATGTATTCCTCACAAGAACCCTGTGGAGTGGGTACTATTATTATTATCCTCATTTTTGAAGTGAGGAACCTGAAGCACAGAGAGGTTATGTAACTGTTCCAAGTTCACACAGCTAGTATATGGCAGAACTACAATTTGAACTCAAGCAGTCAGCTCCCAGAATCTATGCTTTTAACTACCATATTATGTTGCTCCTTTCCTTATGAGTGCATTTTATTACAGGAGATTTTTATACTAAATTTATTATAGCAGATCTTCTTGTTTTTCTGGCTTGTAAAAAAATTTCATATCTTAAGGACAAGCTGCTAGATAGCATTCTCATTTTTAATGCTTATATGAAAGTTTAGTAAGTATTAAAAATTAACATAGTGTGCTCATATGCATTGTGTAAAAGCTAGTGTTTATTGCTTCACATGAAAATAATTACAAATTTAAGAATCCTAAATTAGTGCAACTAATTTGTTTGGGCTATTGTTCAATAATGAAGCAATTATTAGGTAGCGTGAGTCTGTGATTTTTAAAAATTTCTATCAAAAAGCTTGAAATAAATTTAGAATTGTGTGGATTTCACCTTGGGTTGACCTTATATATTAAACATGGCAAGTGGATATTTTCTGGTGTTTTGATTTATGTTGAACTTTGAATAACCCCTCATGATTATAATTCACTGGAATGTTTGACATTAGCCAATTTTTGAACATTAGCCATGATATTGCCATTCTTAATACTTTTGAATTTCAGTGATTTAGAAGGTAAAATTTATTAACCAATAATTCTCTTCCCTCCAACATCCCAGTCCTCATTTCTCTCCCCTCCTGATATGGACAGACTCAATTTTTGCCAGAACAGATATTTTTAAGAGACTTTGGGTTTATTTCAGACACTAAGATAGATAAAAATTAGAAAACATTATAGCATAGCCATTGAGAGGTGATTCATACA